TCTGTAGGAGTCTCAGTTGTCTGATTAGTGAGAAAAATGTGGAGTTACCAAGTGTTAAGGTGGATTCATTCTGAGAGGAGGAGCATGGTGGGGACAAGAGGCATGGAGTCACCACACAAACCCCAGGAGTCGGGTGAAAGCAGGCCAGAGGCGAGCAGCCTGCAGACTTGTTTATTTCAGTTGGTACAGCAGCTTATATAGCCAAGGCAGCCAATCCAGTCAAGAGGCAGTCTATGCCCTAACCAATCACACCCTGTTGCCAGGAAGGCTCCATTGTTATGTGGTGTCCAAAGCCATCCAATCACAGCCTGTTGCCAGGTAGTTTCCATTGCCAGTGGCCATCTTGGCATGGCCTTCTCATTCCACCACAACCAAGATGACTTATTTGTTTTTTATTGAGAATTATTCATTTGAAAGTCAGAGTTACAGAGAGGGAGAAACAGAGAGATAGAGATAGAGATAGAGATAGAGATAGAGATAGAGATAGAGATAGAGATAGAGAGAGAGAGAGAGAATCTTCCATCCACTAGATCATTCCCCATATGGTCTAAATGGCTAATGCTGGACCAAGCCATAGCCAGGAGCCAAGAGCTTCTTCTGGGTCTCCCCCAAGGGTGGTAGGGGACCAAGCAGTTGGGCCATCTTCTGTTTCTTCCTCAGGCCATTATCAGGGAGCTGGAATTTAAGTGGAACAGCTGGGACTTGACCTGGTGCCCATTTGGCACGCTGGCATCATAGGTGGTGGCTCTACATGCTATACCACAATGTTGGTCCCATGATGTCTTCTAATGATTAAAAATATATAAATATAAATGCAAAATGAGAAAGCTTGATTTAATTTGCTATGGCCAAAGTTTGCTTGCAAATTTAATGCACTGTCTATTCAAATGCTGCTTATTTATTTGTTGTTTTTGATTCTTGAGTGATGAAGATTTCTAACAAATGTACTAAATGAAAATTCCAAATTTTTCTAGGTCAGCAACCGTTTTCTGGCTTGGCATTTTGTAAACTCTTCTTAAATGGAAACTGCCACCTTTTGTGGGGTTTGGAGGGAATATTTGTAAATCACTGGCTGAGAGTACATAATAAGAATGTTATTTCTTCTACAGAAACATGTAATCTGGTTAGGGAGACAAAGCACAGAAAGATGGTAGAGTTCCCTGTAGAGCAATGTGATCAGGCTTCTCAGTGTGAGTTCAGTGAAGTTGTCCTTCTCCCACCTCAGAAATGCATGTACACTCAGGGAGACAATCAAAAGAGGTTGACTTCAACAGAAGGTTTTCTTGCTGTTTCTATGACAACCAAAATAAAATAATCACAGCACTTACCTTGAACCTTTAATGAAGTTTAGTCAGCAAAATTTGCTGAGCATCCACTATGTACAAAGAAGTGCACTGGAACAGGATGGCAAAAAATATATATATTTATATATATTATATATATTTGTATATATTTATATATAATATATAACACATATTATACATTATTATAATCAATATAATATAGTATAATTATATATTATGTATATTATATATCATATAATATAATATGTATTATATATATTACATATAACATTATATGTTATATTATGGTATATATTAATATATGATAATTATATATCATATATAATATATAATTATAATATTATAATATAGATTATAATATAATTATAATCTAATATGATATAATATATTACATATAAAATATATATAATATACATTATATATTATATAATATATTTTTAAATAATATATAACTATATATATATATAGCCTGGAAGTGGAAACTTCCAGGAGAAAATAACTTTCTGTACAGGTATATCTTCTGAAGCAAACAAAAAATCTTGCCTCATATTTGCAAGTTAGTTTTAAAAGGTTTATGTTAAGTTGTAAGTGCTTTTTTTTGTATTTCTACACAAATGAAATGACAAAGGAAATAGAAGAAATTGTTCCCTACACCAAAAATGATTTGTAAGTTGACTTAATATTTGTACACTAATTTTTTACACTTTCAAAAATTTCATTTAAGGTATACAAGTTTCATGTATTTCATATATACAGATTTAGGAACATAGTGATTATTCCCACCCTACCTTCCCTCCCGCCCATGCTCCAACACTTCTTCCTCCTCCCTCTACTATTACACTCTTAATTTTTAGATAGATCTATTTTCAGTTTACTTTATACTCATAGGTTAGCCCTACACTAAATAAAGTGTTCAATAAATAGTATGTCGGAGGAAAAAAAAATATACTGTTCCTACACAATAGAGCCAATCATAGGATTTCAAAATGTCCATTTTACTCCAATAAATTATGTTATAGGTATTGTATTTGTTACCCCAGATCAGGGAAAACATAGGATAGCTGTCTTTTGGGGACTGGCTCATATCACTAAGTATAATGGCTGCATTCATTTGGTTGCAAAAGATAGGATTTTGAACTCTATTCTCGCAGATTGTCTGCTAATAAAGAATACAGATAAAAGGTGTTTTCCCAAGTGTTGTCCTATTTGAAGAATCCTAAGAAGATAAGGTTAAATACAAAGGACATCTTCAAACAGTGGTAAGTAGTGATACAGTTAAAGTTACTTTCTCATAAAAACACATTATAATAACATTATGCTGAGCGAAATAAGCCAATCCCAAGGGACAAATACCACTTGTTCTCCTTGATAGGTGACAACTAACTGAGCACCAAAAAGGAAACCTGTTAAAGTGAAATGAACACTATGAGAAACGGTGACTTGATCAGCCCTCACCCTGACTGTTGATGAGCAACTTAATATGTTATCCCTCTTAGTATTTTTGTTTGTTTGTTCTACTTAATACTTTTGGTTGAATACTGTAATCAATACACAATTATTCTTAAGTGTTGAAACTTAACTGAAAAGTGATCACTGTTAAATGTAAGAGTGGGAATAAGAGAGGGAAGAGATGTGCAATTCGGGACATGCTCAAGCTGACTTACCTCAAACAGTAGAGTTAGAAACATACCAGGGGATTCCAATTCAATCCCATCAATGTGGCATGTACCAATGCCATCTCACTAGTCCCAGTGATCAATTTCTGTGCACAATTGATCATAATGATAGGACTAAGAACCAAAGGGATCACATAAACAAGAATAGTGTCTGCAAATGCTAACTGATAGAATAAAAAAGGGAGAGAATGATCCAACATGGGAAGTGAGATACACAGCAGACCCATAGAATGGCAGATGTCCTAAACAGCACTCTGGCCTCAGAATCAGCCCTTAAGGCATGCGGATCCAGCTGAAAAGCCCATGAGAGTATTTCAGGCATGGAAAGCCAAGACACTCTGGGGAAAAAAAAAAAAAAAGAAAAGAAAAAAAAAACCTAAATGAAAGATCTCCGCGAGTGAGATCCCAGTGGAAAGAACGGGTCATCAAAGAAGGAGGTACCTTTCTCTGAAGGAAGGAGAGAACTTCCACTTTGACCATGGCCTTGTCTAAATATGATCAGAGTCAGTGAACTCAGGGGGCTTCCATAGCCTTGGCAGCTCATGACAAGAGCCTAGGGTGATTACTGATGCCATAAACAAGAGTGTCAATTTGTTAACAACAGGAGTCACTGTGCACTTACTCCTCATGTAGGATCTTTGTCTTTAGTGTGTTGTACATGAGATTTAATGCTATAACTAGTACTCAAACAGTATTTTTCCCTTTATGTTTCTTTGTGGGAGCAAACTGTTGAAATCTTTACTTAATGTATGCTAAACTGATCTTCTGTATAGAAAGAGAATTGAAAATGAATCTTGATGTGAATGGAAGGGGAGAGGGAGTGGGAAAGGGGAGGATTGTGGGTAGGAAGGACATTATGGGGCAGGGGTAGCCATTGTAATCCATAAGCTGTACTTGGAAATTTATATTCATTAAATAAAAGTTTTAAAAAAACACATTATATATTGACCAGGCATATAATGTTAAAATCAAAACTAAAAACATCTTTCCTCCAAGTTCCTACAGCTGTGTGTGCACTGTCCATATCAGGCTAGATTATATGCCAGTTATCTCCAATATATCTTCATAATCATTCAAAACTCTTGGTGAATAACATTTCCCTTGATGTTCACCTCTTTAATTCACTGTTTTCTGGAGCAGCTTTCCTCCTAGATTTATTTCGCTCAGGTTAATTTTGAAGTAGATTGTAATTTTTAAAGATTTACCTATTTATTTATAATACAGAATTCCGGGGATGGGGGGCAGGGCAAAGGAGAGAGAGGGAGACTGAGAGAGAGAGAGAGATTCCATCTGCTGTTTCACTCCTCAAATTGTCAAAATATCTTGGTCTGATCCAGGTGAAACCAAGGAGCCTTGACCTCCATCCAGGCCTCCCATGTGGGTGGCAGGAACCAAGCACTTGGGCTGTCCTCTGCTGTTTACCTGGGCACATTAGCAGGGAACTGAATCAGAAGTAGAGCAACCAGGACTTGAACTGGACTCATATGGTGGGTCAGTGTCACAGATGTAGGTTTACCTCACTATACCACAATCCCACCCCAAAATTTTACATATTTATTATTATGTTCTTTCATTCATTCATCATTATATTGCTCAACTTCCTTAACCAAAGCCAAGAATTAGTGAACATTGAGATTTAACACATTGACATGTGAGTATGTAATCTGCTTGTATGCTTGCATCTATTCGACTTTTAATTTTTTTCTTGCTACACAATTAGTTGAAGTTCCTTATAGTGAACAATAAGGGGAGGGTATTTGGTACAATGGTTGAGACAGCTGTTGAGACACTATATCTGGCACTGGAGGCACTGGGTTTGAATTTTAGTCTTTCCAGTATCAGGGAATATCTGGTCCACACCTGAAAAATCATTCCGTCTGGTGCTGCTAAGGCAACAGTAGGTGGAACTCAAAATTCAATAAATCTATAACGGGCTAATTTTTAAGTTGATAATTTTGTACAGCCCATAAATTATGCTATAAATATCCAAATGGTCTTTGATAGAAAAAATATTTCTCACCTTTATATGTGTACTTTGAGAGGCAGTACTTGATGACTCAAATACTTGGATTCTTGCAACCCACAAAGAAGGCTCAGGCTGAGTTCTACATTCTAGGCTTCAGACTGTTCCAGGCTCACCTGTTGTAGGCATTTAGAGACTTAGAAAAGGCAATAGAAAAAGTATATTATTGTAATAAGTTAACACAAATTTAATGATTAGAAACAAGAATTACTATCATAATTCTTTTGATCGGAAATGAGACATATGAATTATTGAATTAAAATAAAAATATCAAGAGGTTTCTATTTCCTCATGGAAAGGTCACTTCCTGGTGTGTCCATCTGCTAGAGTCCAACTGTGCTCTTCATCTCATGGCTCCTTTCCTTCATCCTCAAATTAAGCCCCCTTTAGTCCTTTGCAGGTTGCATTTCTCTGACTCTTGATCATACATACATTTTTCTCTGACTATAGTTGGGAAACCATCTCCATTTTTAAGAATTCATGTACTTAGAATGGACTCCCCATATAATCCACAATGACCTCCACATCTCAAAGTTGGTGACATGAATCACCTTTCTTTCTATGTAAGGTAACATGTTCACAAGTTGCATAGGGATTAGGGATGGACATGCTTGAATTACTGTTACTGTACCTAGCATGAGAGTGATAATGAATTCAATAGTAGCACTACCTCTATAGAAGCCACTACCTCTGTTTGTCTAAAGGAGAATATCAAAGGAACAAACTTGGAAAAAGGCCCCCTTGAAGCTGAGATTTAGACTTCATTTGAGAAGTTAAGAATGTATAAATGGAGGTAGGTAGATTTAGTCCTAAACTTCGATGTTTTCTCTAATAGAAAAAAAAATGAAGAAAAAAAACCTACCACATAAATGAATAAAAAGTTTGGAATTAAATCTTTCCAAATAAATGAAAAAAAGCTTGGGATTAAACTTTCCAAAGAAACCATAAAAGGACACTATAATAAAATAGTATTTGGAGAGGAGACTGATTTAGATTTTGTTATTTAAGAAGAAATCTTATGGGTTATATTAGTAGATATTTTAGTGGTATTAAGGAGACAGTCATGAAAAGATTTGTAGGCACAGAAATGTAAGCTTTCTTTCCCTCTAAGTGGAGGCAGATGTAATTCCTTTTTAGAGAACTAAGAAAAACTGAATCTTGGTGCATGAGGGTAAAAGTAGAGGATATTTAGTTGGACAAGTAAATAGAGTTCAGACTACAACACAGGAAACAATGAGTAAAGTTTTGAGCTTTTATAAATGCAGGATGAGATGTAGTTTACAGGTTTTGGCAAGGTAGTAATTTAATGTGATTTATATTTTTAAAAAATCTCTGTTGTTACTCAATAGAAAATAGATTGGGGCTTATTGATTTATCTGTTGACTTTTTAGAATCAGAGGTTTATGAAGGCAGGGACTGTTTTTCCTTCTTTGTACCTGTCACAATATTTAGAATGTGGTAGGTTCTTTGAAAAGTTTTTTTTTTTTTTCAATGAGTGAATAGGTAAGTAATTGAGTGAATAAATATGATAAATATATAAATAAAGAGAATTGTTTCTTAATGGAAAGTTTTACAGACATGAGGAAGAAATGCTAAGTGGTAGCAAAAATATTTTAAGTATTCTGGACAAGATGAATTGCATGGTGCAGAAATTTTAATCACCTTGGCAGGTAGCCTGTACCCTCAGTGCCTGCTTGGGGTACCAAAAAAGTAAACATCACTTGTTTTTTCCCAATTTTGAGTTTCTTTATGAGCATTAGTGCCGGTGAAGGCAAGTTCAGTAAAATAGCTCTATCAGCCCACAATGTATTCCTTACCATTTATTTTAATGGAAGACAGGAAGACAGTCCAATAAGCAACCAGATAGCATGAGCAGAATGTCTTTCACTAGATAAAATATTAAATTTTTTATTTTATATGTTATATATTAACTCCTTATGAATTCATTTGTTTTCTGCAGCATAAACTCTTTCCAAATAGCTCCCCAGAACTGCTGTCAGGTTGGAACTACCTGGAATACATACAGTTCTGCATCTTTTGGCATCTAGTACTCTTTACTGAATTTCCTCTTTTTTAAACCATTAGGTCTAGATCATACAGATGAAAAAGCCAGAAGTGGAATATGAAGAAACTGTCTTTGATACAGGACCAACAATTATGTCTAATACCCTTGATCTTGTCCTTTCTCTTTTTTGAGTTTGAGAATAATTAACTGCTCTTCAGTTTTCTTTCCTCTATTTGTTTCCTCTTCTTTCTTTTCTTCCTTTCTCTCTCCATTTCTTTTATTATCACACTGCAGTTTATGCGTTCTATTATTTTTGAAGGTAATTACTTATCTTTTATTTCTACTAGTTAATCTTGCAGTTTTCCTGCTTCCATGAAATTGTTTCATTCCATCATCAGTGTTGTCTCCTGTTTAAACCAGTCTCATGGTCTCCTACACCTTCTTTCTAGCATTGTTCTGTACTGTAACAAGGGCTGGAAAAAATGGGAAATAGTGAAATGATAGAAAGTGATGAAATGCTCTTGAATAGTAAAAGTATGAAGCTGAAATCATGCCAGTTAGAGGAACTGGTTAGAAGAACTGAGAGTGTAGCAAGAAGAGAGATAGGGATCAAGCAATGAAAGAATTATGACTACAATTCATACTAAACGTGAAAATAGAATGAATAAAATATAGGAAAAAAGAGGGGATAGATTGTGCTATAAGAAAGAAGAGTGTTGAATTTTAAGGACTTGATATGAAAAATTAGAACAAAAATGAGATCTGAAATCTCTACTGTTTAGTGACTATGAAAAACATTGATTGAGGTCATGTGTTTACTCCTGAAGGTCTATGAATATTTAAGTAAATTTTAGGGCATCTGAGACCCATAAACATAGTATCAGTTTCATGATTTACAGAGTGTTTAATTTTGTCCTATTTACGGGATATATAACCCAGCTTGTCATCTATAAAATACTCACTTTAACAACTCCTAAAAAGACCTATTGTAAGAAATTAAAAACATTGACACTATGCTCTTAAAAACTACTTCTTCCTTCTCCTTACTTTCTTTTCCTTGAATTATAAAAATGAACTTCTCCTATTAATAGATTTCAAATAATAGTGTATTTTTACAAATATTGAAATATTTGTAAATATTGAAATACTGCTAATTTGTTCATGGTAATTTCTGTTTTATTTCCTAAAATTGATTCTTCTACATGTAAATCTTCTGTATTCTTGTTTAAACTAATATGTATATTATATTAGAATGCACTTTAATTACAACTTCTATTTTATTCTTATAGTAAATTATTTATTATATTATGAGCTGCTTGAAGTTTTGTAGACAAATGGCTTAAATTTTATTAACAGTAAGCATACATATTTATGGGTTACAGTGTAATATTTTAATATGCATATTTACAGTGTGTACTGATCAAATCTGTATAATCAGTATCCCTTTTATGACATTACTGTATGAATAAAAATCTCCTCTATTTTTTTCATACAATACATACTAGCTTATTGCAAGTTATTGTCTCCCACTGTGTTTTGGGATGCTAGAAATGTATTTCTTCCAAGTAACCCACATTGTTACCTATTATCAAAATTCCCTCTATCCCGCCTACCCCTCTGAGACTGAACTAATTAACATTCCGTGTTCTGAATGAGTTTTAACTGTTTGCTTTTAGCTTCCACATAGGAGGGAACACATGTGGTATTTATCTTTCTGTGTCTATCCTATTTAACTTAATATTATGTCCTCTAGTTCCAACCTTTCTGCTACAAATGAAGAGGCTTCATCCCTTTTAATGGATGGATCATATTCTATATTTTCTTTACCAATTAATCTGAACATGATCATGTTGGTTGATTACTTATCTTTGATATTGTGAACAGTGCTGCATTAAACATGAGAGACCAATTATCACTCTGATAAAGTGATTTCATGTCTTCTAGACAAATAGCCAGTAGTGGGATTACTACATGACACAGTAGTTCTTTTACTAGTTTAAAAATAAATCTTCATGTTAAACTCTATTCAGTGGAGAATTACTTGATGAGTATATTGTAAAATTAAAATATTATCTCAAAAAAGTGGCCCAAAAAGAAAACAGATAAAATGGCAGAATTGTAATTTTGTTCTTATACTTCCTTTGAATTGTTCTTTGCAAACAACTCAAAGATAAATAAAATGATCTCCATATGATTTTTCATACAGTCTGTACTAAAATTACATTTCTATCAAAAGTGCATCAAAAGTTTCCCTTTTAAGAAATCCCCACCAGAATTTGTCACTTTCTATCTTTTTTGAGAATAGCAGTTCTGACTCCTTTCAGTTCTGACTTGTTCTGCCTCATTGTGGTGGCTCAAGATATTGAGCATTTTAACATGTATTTGTTGGCCATTTGTATTTATTCTTTTGAGAACTGTCCTCTTCATACTGGGATTGTTTGTTTTCTGTCTTTGTTTTTGTTTAATTTTTTCAGTTGCTGATATGTTCGAGATCTTAATCCTTTGTAGGATAAGTAGCTTGCAAATACTGTCTCTGATGATTCTGTTGGATATCTTCACTCTATTGATTGTTTCCTTTTCTGTGCAGAAGCTTCTGAGTTTGAAATAATTGCTTTTCTAGTTTAGCTTTTGTTACCTATTTTGGATGGGTCTTATCCTACATCAATATCTTAAAGTGTTTCCCTGGTTTTCATCTAGAAATTTCCTAGTTTCAAGTCTTTTATACAGGTCTTGAATGCACCTTGAGTTGATTTTTGTATAAAATGAGAGGGAAAGATCTAATTAGAATTGCCTACATATGCATAGGTTTGCCAACAATGTTAAATGAAAAGACTGTATTTTCTCCTATCTATGTTCTTGGCACCCTTGTCCAAAATCAGTTGGTTAGCATGTATGTGGATTAATTTCTATGTTCTGTATTCTGTTCTATTGATCTATGTGTTGATTTATTTTGCCAATGCATTACTTTTTTTAATTACTATAATTTGTAGTATGCTCTGAAATCAGATAATGTGGTGCCTCCAGGTTTGTTTGCTTATTTATTTCTTAATTTCTTTATTTTGCCCAAGATTTCTCTGTTTTGGGTCATCTGTGGTTTTATATGAATATTAA